GTTTTTTCAGAGCCAGCATATTTGGACAACCATTTTAAAAACATACGGAATGTTAAGTAATAGATTTAAATAATGAATAAACAAAATCTTCCGTCATATCAGAGTTTTCGTTGTTGTTTTTTTCTTACATCAACTATTTTTATTTATTAGTTTTATTAAATCTAAACATTTCATCACTCATGCTATTAAAAACTATAACTGACTCACACAATATTTTTTAGAAATTTCCTTATTAACTATGGATGGGATTAGTATTTTACACCTTCGATCACTCAAACACAATGTCACGTTCTTTTTTTAAGGTTGTACAATTACCAAGAAGGTATTTCTCCAAAAATAACGCCCTTATACATAAAATTACAGAATCTTTGAATCGTAATACTTATGCACTATCAAGCATTATTTTCAAAATATATTGTATATCTACATTTGCTTTGACTGTTACATAAGCACCTCCCACACAATACCTCCGTAATCCGTAATAGCACATGGCCGAAATAAGGTGTATAAATAATTAATCTTCTTTCAGCTTCAACATAGTTTTCTTTCTACAGAAAACATAAATCAAAATATTTATCTCGTGTTTACGAGATGGGGCCACTTTAGGGTGCTACAAATATACATTGCTAGATATTTAGAAAAGTAAAAAGTGAGACGTGCACTCTGTTTAAAGTGGGACGTGCACAACGAACACTGACGTGTACTATGCAGATGTTTCTACGTATTTTCAACCTAAAAATAATCGGGTAACTAGTTCAATAGCTACCATATAGAATAAAGACAATTTCTGAGATACTGAGTTAAGAAGTTCTTCCTCGTGCCCAGTATTAATTGTTTACTCTATTGAACTACATGTTTTTTATTTAATTAAGTAGTATTGTATTATTTAATATTAATGGTATTATAGTATTATTTAATAATAATAATAATGAAGAAGAAGAAGAAGGGGAAGAAGAAGAAGAAGAAGAAGAAGAAGGGGAAGAAGAAGAAGAAGAAGAAGAAGGGGAAGAAGAAGAAGAAGAAGAAGGGGAAGAAGAAGGAGAAGAAGGGGAAGAAGAAGAAGAAGAAGAAGAAGAAGAAGAAGAAGAAGAAGAAGAAGAAGAAGAAGAAAAAGAAGAAGAATGTTAACCACTATTACCGTGCTTCAGGGTAAAACGCTTGTCAACATTTATGTTACAAACTTAACTCTCTATTTCGCCTCTATAGAGGTATCACTTTTCTTCTAATAGTCCTCCCACTCACATTTCATTTTTGCAAGTCTGCTTTTCTTGCCCTTGTAGTCCTGGAATTTCGTTTTCACTTTACAATTTCTGCTCTTAAGTATTTAGTAAAAGTATTAAGTATTCAATTAAAGTTAATAATCACAAAAGAGGTTTATTTATAGTATCGTTCTCCCTTTTCCCGCGTGTTTACTCCTTTCTCCAAACTCCCCCGAGAAACCCAATAGGAGGGCGATCCATTCACCTCGTCACCGTCATCTCGA